ATAAATAAATAAATTAAATTGTAAATTGTTTAATTTTGTAATTATATTTATTTGTAATTGTTTTTATTGATACAATTTACATAAAAATCAAAAAAAAAATTTTAAGATTTGAAAAAGCCCGCGTTAGAATTGATTGCCGGGGGCGCCACTGACTTTCTCGCAAGTGGTAAAGTTTTTGGGTCAAATTATAGGAATAATAAGTGTTCGGCCCTAAAAGAGATCCGGTTACAATAAAATTGTAATGAAATGAAATAATTATAATAATTATAATTTTTTTTTATTTTTAAATACTTTTATATAATTATTTATTTATTTTATTTATTAATGTACTAATTCTTACATAATTAATTTATTTGTAATTTTATTTTAAATATTTACATTTAAATTTTCACCTTTACTTCAATAAAAAATTGTTTTCTTAATTTTTTATTCGAAGGAAAAAAATGTATTATTCAACGAAATTGGCGTTTATAAAATGATAATATAAATGATGTTAGGAGCAGTCGAAACAAAACCATTAAGGATGATGACCAAGTTGTACGAAATAATAGAAATTTGTATTAAGGGGTCAAGGTTTAGATAATGTATATATATGTATATTTACACTCGACTAATACAAGGTGGGAAAACTTTACGGCAATTTAATTATTCGAGAGCACATTTCCTTCCTCTTATTATTCAACGAGCGGCGTTAATTTTCCTATTTTGACCACAGAGTCATTAGAACTTGAGACACGAAATTTCTTTTTTATTGTTACTCGACAGTTTCTTTATTAATTTATTTTATTTTTTTATTTTCTGTAATTTATTTTATTTATTTAATTTTCTTCGCCTTTTATTTGTATTATTTTGCAATTGTTTTTTTTCTACTTATGTATTTATTTTCTTGTTAATAGAAATATTATTGCAAATAATTTATTATCAATGACAGAAAAAAATAAAAAACATTTTTTAACTAAAAAAAAAAATTTTTTTTTTGTCTTTTCTTAAATAAATTGTTTAAATAAATAAATATTTTTAATTTTTGAAAATTATTATTTAAAAGAATAATAATAAGTAAATAAAAAATAAATGAATAATGATAAGTTATAATAATAATAAAAAATTAATATAAATAATAATAATAATAAATTTTTTACTCCTGAGTGGAAATTGAATTTTTTCAAAATTGCTAAAAAAAACAAAAGATTATAAAAAACCGTAAAATTTTTTTTTTTTTAAATTTTTAATATTTATAAATAAAAAATAAATAAATTATGGGAATTATCCGACATTAAGTGTTTTATTTCCATTCTTTATTGTATATATATGTACACGAAAGTGGCTGACGTCTTTGCACAATAATTGGTATAGAAGCGAGCGGAAGCAAGTTAATAATTGAACATCCTTATTCTATATAAACTCAAGAGAAACACGAACCGAGATTTTCTTGAAATTTAACTCCCCTATTTTGTCACCAGAAATTTGAGCTTTGGAACTTCCTTTACTAATTAATCACAGAAAATAATAATAATAATAATAATAATATTTATGTGCAAGAATTTTAGACAGAAATTTTATTGTAGCAATAACAATAACTATTAGTGTTATAATTTAACAATAACTAAATGAAACGAAATAAATAATTAATTTATAAAATGTATTATTAGTGATAATTAAAAAATAAAATAATAATAAAATAAAAAATAAAAGAAAAATAAAATGAAAAATTTAATAATTAATTAAATTATTAATTAATTAATTATTATTAATTTAATTATTTTTTTAATTTAATAAAATTAAAATTAAGAAATTTAATTTTAATTAAAATTAAATTAAAATTGCTAAAAGCGAAAAATAAATTTTAAAGATTTGAAAAAGCCCGCGTTAGAATTAGTTGCCAGAGGGCGCCAGTGACTTTCTCGCAAGTGGTAAATTTTTATGTCAAATTATAATGACATTAGAGAAACCGAATTGTAAACTAGTCAAAATTGTCTCAAAAGTAATTCAATACCAAAATTAATATTAAACTATTTTATTGTTTATATTTACCTATTTTATTTTTATTTTATTTTTATAATAAAACAATATTAGAAATTAGAAAATTTTAAAAAAAATATAATTAACAAATAAAAAAGAATTCTTCGAAAAAATTCAATTATTTTTATAAACAGTAAAATTCTTTGCAATAATTCAATTATTTTTATAAATAGTAAAATCCTTTGCAGAAATTCAATTCTTTTCAAAACAATTTTAATAGAATTCCTTGAAAAAATTAAAAATTTTAAATATTAACTTAAAATTCATTCATTTTTTAAAATTGTAATTAATTCTTCGGAACAATTCAATTATTTTTTTAAGTAATAAAATTCTTTGCAAGAATTGAATTATTTTCAATACAATTTTAATAAAATTCTTCTTCATTAAATTCAATTGCTTTCAAAATTTTCAATAAAATTAAAATTATTAAAACGAATTTTAAAACAATTTTTTAAAAAAGTTACCTTTTCAAGGAATTCGATTAAAATTGTATTAAAAATAATTGAAATTCTGCGATGAGTTTTAGTATTTTTGAAAATAATAATTGAATTATTGAGAAGAAAATTATAAAAAATTTTGTAAATATTTGAATTCCTGTGAAATTTTTATTATTTATAAAAATAATGAAATGTTTTTGTTGAATTTTATTAAAATTATTTTTAAATAATTAAATTCTTTTGGGTAATTTTATTAAAATAGTAAATTATTCAAATTCATTAAAATGAGGAAAATTATTGAAAATAATTGAAATTTTGACAAGAATAAATTATATTAAAATTGTGAGAAAAAATTGAATTTTGAAGAATTTTTTTATTTATATAAAGATAATAATTGGGATTTTGTCGAGATTTTTTTTTTGTAAATTTTAAACATAATTGAATTTTGTGATTAGAATTTTATTACTTTTGAAAATAATTGAATTTCTCCAATAATTTCTAACTTTTCACAAAATTCAATGTTTTCCAGTGTTTTTAACTAAAATTCTCACATTATTTTTGATAATTAATTAAATATATTTTAACAAATTTAACTAATTTTCGAAGATTTTGAATTAATAAAATTTTTCGAAAAATCTAAGTTCATTAAAATTTCTAATTAAATTCATTCAACATTGAAATTTTTAATAATTTTAAATTGAAACCATTTGAAAATTGTTCATTAAATAATTTATTTATTTTATGATATAGTTGTTCAAGATTGAAGTTATTTAAAAAGAAATTTTTGTCAGAAATTGAAAAAATTAAAGTTTTTTTTAAAATTCGTGGTAATTTTATAGTTTATGAGACAAAGGAAAAAGACACAAAAATTCAGAATTTTCTCATGAATTCTAAAAATTTAATTTTCAGATTTTTTCCGTACTTTTTATAAAAAAATTTTTTTCTTATTAAATTTTTTTCCGTACTTTTTATAAAAATTCCTGACTTTTCCCTTTTCCCTTATTATAATTATAATAATATTAAAAGTATATATTCCAATTCATATTTTATTTTTATAAAAAAAAAAAAATTGAATTAAAAATTTTTACGTTCTATTATTTTTAAAATTGCTTATTTTATTATTATTAAAAAAATTATTATAAAATATTATAAAAAATTATTTTATTATTATTTAAAGAAAGTGAGTGAGAAGTCAGCTGCGCGTTAATTGTTGCTAGTTATAACTATTATAATAGAACTAATATAATAACGATATAATAATTATAAAAATTATAATAATAGTAATAAAAATAACAAAACTAAATTAATTTACTAAAAACGAAAAAAAAAAAAATTTTGAAAATTTGAAAAAGCCCGTGCTGGAAATAATTGCCAGAGGGCGCCTTGGACTTTCTCGCAAGTGGTAATATTTTTACTTCCAATAATAGTAGTAGCACTATTTAATGATAATCAATTAACAGAATTTATCGACATTTACAATAATAATAATTAGTATAATAGTAAAAATAGTAAAAATAGTAAAAAAATAGTAAAAATAATAATAATATTAACAATAATAATTAATTTTTAAATAAAAAAAAACTTTTCAAATAATTTTTTTTTTATTTTTTCTTCAAAGTTTTCGCATTCAAGTCGAAAGAGATATTTTTCGTTTAGTCTGACGTGAGAGAAATGACGATTTTCTTTCCTTTTTTTAACAAAAAAAAAATGGATCAAATGGATGATCTAAATCGTCTTGTGGAGAAAATGATAGTAAACTGCGGGAGGGGGGGGGGGGGTTAAGATGAAAAGGGGAAAGTGTTATAAAACTAAGCGAAGTCTGTGAAGAAGAGATAAAAAAAACAAAGAAAAAAGAGAGTAAAATCGATTCATTCTAAAGGGACACTTTAAATTCGGTTTCTCGTAACGCAAGACGATTACACTTTATTGGTTCTCAGTTTGCGTTACGTGCTCATGAATTTTTACATGATATAAAGAAAGAAATATAAATATAGATATATGTAAAATTTAGAGAGATGTAGTGATATAGAGATCATTTTTATAGTGATATAATATACGTATAAGTACCAAATTCAAATAATATTACCATTCCCCCCCCACACCCCTCTTTCTCCCCCCCTCCATCGCCACTCACCTTCTACTTATATAATGAAAATGAATAGAATATGAAGTACGAAAATTTTAATAAAAAACGATTCATCATTAAGTCACACAATTCAATTTTTTTTTTTTTATTAACATTACATTTCTTCGTTGCATGTTTTATTCATTATTCATTATATTAATTTGCATTTTCGCGTGTAGACCTATTTTCTCAAAGATTCATTAGGTTGTATAATTTATAAAATAAAAAAAAAAGGAAGGAAAAAAATACCTTCACTTTTTTTTTAAATGTTAATTTGAAGAAATATTAATTTTCGATTTTTTTAAATTCAATATTATTCTCGAAGCATTTTCTCTGAGGATTATATTAAAATAATTGAATTTTACAAGATATAAAAATGAAAAAAAAAATTCTAAAGAAAACTTTGATTTTTGACGTAGATTAGATTACCACTTGCGAGAAAGTCAATGGTGCCCTCTGGCAACTAATTTTATGGCGGGATTTTTAAATCGTAAGTTTATTTATTCCTTTTTTAGTCAATTAATTTGATTATTATTATTTTATTATAATTACTTTATTTTTATTATTTCTATTTTCATATTTATTACTATAATTTGACGCTGAAGGTTACCACTTGCGAGAAAGTCTATGGCGCCCTCTGGTAACTAATTTTAACGCGTGGTTTTTAAATCTTAATTTTTTTTTCTTTTTTATAAAATAGATTTTTTAATTATTATTATTGTTATTATTATTATTATATTTTTCTGGTTGTAACTATTATTTTCTTTTGCTATTACTAATTATTAGTCGTAGTTTCTAGTAAATTTATTATTTTCATTAATATTATTATTATTATTTTTATTTTTTTTTTTATTATCTTTATTATTACTATTTTTATTATTAATATAATTATTATTACAATTATTATTATTAATATTATTCCCATTTTTATATATCGACTGCAATTTGGGCGTAAATTTTTACCACTAGCGAGAAAGTCAGTGGCGCCCTCTGGCAACTAATTCTAACGCGGGCTTTTTCAAATCTTAAAATTTATTTTTCTCCTTTTTAGTACCTAAATTAATGTAATTTTTAATTTTTTATAATAATAATAATAATAATAAAATAATAAATAAGCTGGATGGAAAATAAATGAAAATGAATTAAAATAAATAATTTATAACTCCGCTTTTTCTGCTTTCTAAATACAAAAGATAATAAGCGATAAGTACATTTAAATAGCTGTCGTATAATAATCCAGGGATTATTGTAAATATATATGTCATTCAAATTCATAAATATTTCATAGAAAATAAAACCAGTATCAATTTCTTTTTCTCCTTTAATAAAAAAAAAGGAACAAATATAAATCCTTTTTATCAATAAAAAATCTTCAAGTAATCTCTTTTCCACTTTATATTATCTTTACTTATTTTTTTTTTTTATTTTTATTTATTTTATTTCTATTTATAAAAAATTAATTTAAATCACGGCACTTGATAGCAAGTATAAATATTGCGATTATAATTAGTTCGGAAAATAAAATTATAATGATTCAAAAATTTGTAAATAATTAATTGGTTATTAATATTGATTAATTAATTATTAATTTTTTTAACAAATATATAATACATTAATAATTAATTACTCACCAAATAAAAAATAATTGTTTAATTAATTAAAAATTGAAGTTGAATAATTATTTAGTTACTGAATAAACAAATTTAAAATGGCTCAGTGGCAAAAGCGCTAGACTCTTAACAGCAAGGACCAAGGTTCGATTCTTCGTGACCGCGGATTTTTAACTAATTAATAAAAAAAATAGGTACCTCAAAAATATTTGTAATTAGTTATTAAATTAATTAATTTCGAAGTAAAAATTATTAATTAATTAATTTATTATAATTACTTATTTAATTAATAATTAATTACTAAGTAAAAAATTAGTAATTAATTTATTACCTACTGAAAAATTAGGTCCTTAATCATTTAGATATTTATCTAATTAAAAATAAATTAATTACTAAAAAAGTAAATAAATTACTAAATGAAAAATAATTGATTAGTTACCTAATTAAAAATTAAATGAATTTTCTAATAAGAAGTTCTTATTTATAAATTGCACAATAAAAAAATGAGTAATAAAAAATAATTATAAAATAATAACTATAATAATATTGAAATAATAACAATAATAATAAAAAAATAATAACAATAATAATAAAAAAATAATAACAATAATAATAAAATAATAACAATAATAATAAAATAATAACTAAATAATTAAACAATAGTAATAGAATAATAAAAATAATAATAAAGTAGTGAAATAAGAACAAAAAATCTTAATTAATGAAAACAAAGGACAAAGAAAAAACGGAAAGATAATAATGTCTAAAAAGTATTTTTGGGATTTTCTTTAAAAAAATTTTTTTTTCAAATTCTCTGCTTTCTCAAAAAATATATTATTCGGGGGTAAAAAAACGAAAATAAAAAAATAATCGCCAACATTTTTTTTCTCTATCAGAAATTAATTTCCGCCTTCTCATTTAAAATTGAAAATTAAGATTTGTTGATATTATTATCCTCTTTTACTTTTAATTAAAAAAAAAAAGAGAAAATAAATGAAAAAAAGGAGAGGGCCGATGATAATTGAATTCTATATTTATATTAAGCAGATAGATGGATATCTTAAGCTGAGAAATAATTAACAAGTTTTCATTTTCGTCTCGCAGAAATAAAAGGGTAGGGAAAAAAAAGCTGCTGATAATAATTAAATTCGATTATCTCCCTCTCTCTCTCTCTCTCTCTCTCTCTCTCTCTCTCTCTCTCATGGTCACGGACTTCCTCGTGTGTTATCCTATTGACAACGACGAAAAAAAAGGGAAGGGACGAAAATTCACCCCTTATTAATGCAAAGTGGGCGGAAAAGTTCGCGTGTTGACCGGATAAATGGAGAGTGAGTCTCTCTCTCTCTCTCTCTCTCTCTCTCTCTTTTTTTTTTTCTTTTTTTTCATTCTTTTTTTCTATATAGAGAAAAAAATTACTTTATAGAGAAAAAGAGTGAGCGAGAAAGAAAAAAGAGAGAGAAGAAAAACAACGAAAGAGAAAGAAGAGAGAAAAAAAGATGGAGAGAAAGAAAATGGAAAGAAAGAAAGAGAAAAAACGAGAGAGAAAAAGAGCGAAAGAGGAAAAGAGAAAAAACGAAAGAGAATGAGAGAAAAAAGAGCGAAAGAGAAAGAGAGAAAGAATAAAAGAAAATAAAAAAAAGAAAAAGAGAGAAAAACAGAATGAGAGAATGAGAGAGAACGAAAGAACAAAAGAGAATGAGAGAGAACAAAAAGCGAAAGAGAAAGAGAAAGTAACAATGAAAGAGAGGAAGAAAGGAAAAAAAGAGGGAGAGAGAACAGAGGAGAGAAGAGAGAGGAGAGAAGAGAGAGGAGAGAAGAACAGAGAGAAAGAAAAAGAGCGAAAGAGAAAGAAACAGCGAAAAAGGAAGAGAGAAAGAATGAAAGAAAATGAGAGAAGAAAAGAGCGAAAGAGAAAAAGAACAAAAGAGAATAAAAGAAAGAAAAAGCGCGAGGATAAGAGAAAGCGAGAAAAAAGAAAGAAAAAAGAAAGAAAAAGAGCGAAAGAGAAAGAAACAGCGAAAGAGGAAGAGAGAAAGAATGAAAGAGAATGAGAGAAAAAAAGAGCAAAAGAGAATAAAAGAAAGTAAACGCGAGAAAAAAAAAGAGAGAGAGAGAAAGAACGAAAGAGAATGAGAGAGGAAAAAAAGCGAAAGAGAAAGAGAAGAAAACAACGAAAGAGAAAGAGAGAGAGAGAGAAAAAAAAAGAAGGAAGGAAGAAAGAAAAAAAAATATTTTAAAAAAAAAATAAATATTTTTAAGAAAAAACGAGAGAAAGAGCGAAAAAATAGAAAGAGAAAGAAAGGGAAACATAGAGAGAAAGAGAATCAGAGAGAAAAGAAAACTAGATATAAAATAGCGTGATGGAAGGAGCATTAAAGTCATATCCTTAACGGTTGACTTGATGAAAGTAGGACATGCTGTACAATCGATATGTCAGTCGTCCAGTTTCAATTCGGTCAGGATCAATACGTGTCACTTTTTTGTTTTGTTTTTCTAATCACTAAACTAAATATTATTTAAAAAGAAAAGAGAGAGGCAAAAAAAAAAAAAAATAGAAAAAAAACCCCACAAGTTTCTATTTTATTTTCGCAAAGGGTGCAGGATATTTAGGCAGTTGCATCCGAGACCGGGTGACAGCGGTGGGATCATTGTCCTGGGAGCCGAGAAATCAATTTTTTTTTTATTCTTTCCACATACGAAAAAATCCTCTCAATTTTTTTTCTTTTTTTTCTTTTCATTATATTATTTATTTTCTCATTACATTTTTTTTTTATTTATTTATTCAAACTATTTATTTTTTTAGTTACAATTTTTTTTGTATTTTATTTTTTTCACTATCTATTTTCTATTTAGAATTTTTTTTTTGTTTTTACTTATTTCCAGTTCCACTATTTATTTTCTACTTAAATTTTGTATTTTTATCTATTTATTTATAATTATAAATTATTATTATTATTTATTTTTATAACTATTTATTTTTTATTGTTACAATTTGTGTTTTTTTTGTATTTATTTTATTTATTTATAACTATCTATTCTCTATTAACAATTTGTTTTTTTATAGTTTTTATTTATTTACACTATTTATTTTCTATTTACATTTTGTATTGTCATTTATTTATTTATACTATTTATTTTCTACTTAAAATTTGTTTTTTTTATTCATTTTTTATTTTATTTATTCATTTACTACTTAAAATTTATTTTCTATATTTCATTTATTTATTTATATTTATTTTCTTCTTGCACTTTTTTTTATGTAGGTATTTATTTACTTTTTATTATCTATTTTTATACTATTATTTCTTTTTAAAGCTTTTGTTTTGTAGCTATTTTTGTAGTATTTATAGATTTTTCATTTATTATTATTTTTGTTATTTACGTACCTATTTTTGTTACAATTTCTATTTTTATAATTCTTCCTCTTTTTATTATTATTTTTTCTGTTTATTAATATTTATCTTCATATTCATTTATTTCTTATTTACCATTTTTTTTAGCCTTTTTCTATTTATTTTTGTATTTGTTTCTACTTTTTACTATTTACAATTTCTTATTTATTTTATTTTCTACTTTAACAATTTTTTTTATATTTTATTTACTTATTATTTACTATTTATTTCAGTGTTTATTTATTTATTGTTCTATTTTTTCTATTTGTTTATTGCTTACATTTTTTGTTTATTCTATTCACTTACTTATTTTTCATGTTTCTTTTTTATTTACAGTTTTTATTTATTCTATTTACTGATTTTTGTTTTATTATTTTTTTTTATTTCCCATTTTTTCAGTCTTTATTTATTTATTTTTCAAGATTTAATTAGCAATTTTTTTTGTACGTTTTTTGTACTATTCGGTACCTATTTTGTTATTATTTCAT